TTCAAGAAATTTAAAGAAATTCTTTAAAATAATTAAATTTTCTATAAATAATTTTAATAAAAGTTAATAATAAAATTATTAATTACAGTTATTAACAACATTGATTATGTTCATAAAGTTAAAGAAATTCTTTATAAAATTCAATTACTTTCAAAATTTTCAATAACAATTATTAGAAAATTCCAATATTTTCAAAAAACTTCTTCAAAATAATTTTATTATTTTCAAAAATTTTAATGACATTCTTTGTAAGAATTCAATTATTTTTACAAATAGTAAAATTGTTCACAGGAATTTAATTATTTTCAAAACAATTTTAATATTTCATGAAAGGATTCAAGTATTTAAAAAATTTTTTAATCAAATTTTTTGAAAGAATTCTATTATTTTCAGAAGTTTGAATAAAATTCTTTGTATATTTAAATAATTTTTAGAATTTTCAATTAAAATTTAAAAAACTACATTATTTTCAAGAAATTTAAAGCAATTCTTGAAGAAAATTTAATTATTTACAAAAGGTCTGATAAAAATTGTTTTTAAAAGAATTAAATTTTTTATAAATAATTTTTACAGTTGTTAAAAACATGATTATTTTGAAAACTTAAAAGAGATTCTTCATAAAATTCAATTACTTTCAAAATTTACAATAAAAATTATTCAAAAACTCAATTTTTATTAAAAAATTCAAATGAATTCTTCAGCACAATTCAATTATTTTCTAAAAATTTTAATAAAATTCTTACTAAGAATTAAATTATTGTCAAAAATCTTAATGTCATAATTTGATAGAATTCTATTAGTTTCATTAATAATAAAATTAAAATAATTTAATTTATTTGCATTACCATTTTAATAAAATTTCTCGATGTAGTTCAATTATATTCAAAAATTTTCATAAAATTCTTTAAAGAAATTCAATTATTCAATATTTTTTAATAAATACTTCTCAAAAATTCATTTATTTTCAATACATTAATTTTTAATAATTTTTCAAATTAATTTGCCATTGAAATTTGTCAAAGAAATTACTGCAAGTAGTGACAATGTGTTTTAGTCAGACTTTATTAAAACTTTTGTTTTCGAGCAAACACAATTGTATCTAATTAATTTAATTTCAGTCACTAGGTAAATAACTTGGTTCCACTCTTAGTCCAGTGAATAGAATAATTATATTAGTTACTTATTAATAATATATAAACTTATTTATAATATATAAACTTATTATTAATAGTAATAATTAATTTATTTATTTAATAATTAATTGATTAATATTAATAGTAATAAATTTCTTTTTTATTTTCTTTTTTCTTTAATCAAAAACAAATTCTTAAGTTTTTTTTAAATTTTTTTAATTCTAAAACGATATAATGTTAAAAATTTTAAAAAGAAATGAGATTTGGAATTTTTACTCGAGCGCTGTAAAAATTTCAACCGTTGAAGATTAAAAAAAAAGTGAAAAAAAATCTTGAAACTCATAGTTTTATAATATACCCAGGTCGCCTCCTTGTGGTTAAGATTATTTTTATCCCCGAGAGAGTTTTTGAAAATTTTGAGTATGTTTAAAATATCAAGCTCGCTTGACGAAACATAACATTGCATCGCGTGTTCTAATCGAAATATAACTGAAAATAAAGAGAGAGAGAGAGAGAGAGAGAGAGAGAAATTGTATATCTCTGCGTCTTAAACGACACGACGGTTGAGATGCGTCTCTTTTACATATTTCACGGTTTGTAAATATTACTCCCGATGTAGGAAAGGTCTTTCGAGTTTATGCTTGGCTTGGTTGCCGCGTAACCGAGGCCACGATGTGGAGAGCAGCAAACTCACCGAGTTTTTACCCCATTCCGGAGTCTGAGTGCCTCGCTTCGCTGACTCTCGAAACGGGTTGCGAACCCTATAGCACACTATACATTTCTCTGTACTACTCTGACTTAAACTCAACCCGTCTAAAACCTACCCTCCCCTCCCCCCTTCTCTTAACCACCCACACTCTCTCTCTCTCTCTCTCACCCAGAAACCCAGACCATCAACCTTTACGTGCCTTATATGTATTTCACTCACTCACTCACTCTTACTTTATTTTTCTCTCTTAGCACTGTTCCTAAGTGCACGTGAGAGAGATCAGAATTTACTATTTTTAACGGTATCGCATAAAAAAGTTTACCACGAGTTTACCTCTTTTACAAGGATAACAATTACTTGCTGAAAGTAATTTGCTGATGGGAAAAGTAGTGTATATATAGATATATATGTATTTTTTGAAAATTTCAGTAAAATTGATGCTACTTTTTTATATATGTTGTTAAATGAAATTGTTGTTTCATTTTGATAATAAATTTTGTTTACTGTTTTTACTGTTTTTGTGGATTTTTAATATTAACTTTTTTTTAATGTATTAAAGTGAAAAATTGTTTTTACATTAACATTACTAATTTTACTAATTGTTTTGAAAACTGCACAGAGAAAAAAGAATTTTTAATATAGAACTAACAAATTTTGTTTGTTGTTGTTACAAAATTGTTTGTTACCTCAACAGATTTATTGTTATGAGAAAAAATTTGAATTGTTAGGACAAGAAAATAAATTTGTTAGTTTTTATATTAACAATATCTTTTTATCAACGTAACAATCCTTTTTCTCCGTGTAATTAACATTTTGATCTAAAACGAATATTTACACAGTCTGACTATAAAGGACTTTTACTACTGGTACTAAAAAGAAGACGATTTTTTGAATTAATTGGTCTGACCTATTGGGAATTTTACTACTGAAGGTAAAATTACAAGAATTTTAATTTATTGATCTGAAAGTAATACTTGAGAAAATAATTGAATACTTTCGAAAAAGATTAAAAATTTTTTTTTAATAATTCAATCCTTTCAAAGAAATTTTATAAAAAATTGTTTTGAAAATAATTGAATCGTGAATTTCGAAAAGGGCTCAAATTGGATTTTTTTCAAATTTCATTTTTTTGCATTATTACATATTCATTGATATTTTCTTAAAAGGAAAATTTCATCTGAGGTACTTTTAGAGGAGAAAAATGTTTTAAAGTGTTTTTTCCTTTGTCTTGTTTTAACCTAAGATTGTTTGTTCAAAACAAATTTTTTACATTATAAAATTAAATAATAAATTAATGCCCACGTGAAACCAACTCCAATTGGAGTTGGTACCAGTTGAACAGTTTTTTATCATCTAAGAATTTTTTCCATGTAAAATTAATAAAAAAAAATTGAAAATTAAAAAAATATAATAATAAGGAAGTAATATTGTAAAGTATAAAAAACTGTTACCAACTACAATTGAAGTTGGTAACAGTTAAACAGTTTTTATCAACTAAGGATTTTTTTCTGTGTAATATTAATAAAAAAAAAGAATTTAAAAAATTTTTAAAAATATAATAATAAGGAAATAATATTAAAAAGTATAAAAAACTGTTACCAACTTCAATTGGAGTTGGTACCAGTTTGACAGTTTTTTTTAAACTTATCGAAAACTCTACAAAAATATACAATGTGGAATATTTGCAAAATTTACATACGGAAATTTTTACGAAATTCCGTACGGAACTCTTTACAGAATTCATTTTCTCATATAACAAAAAAAAATTACTACAAAAAAAAAATCTGGACATTTTTAATTAAAGATGTTTAAAATAAACAGTTTTTTGTGTCTCCTGTAAAATTTAAAAAAAACGAGTTAAGCCCTTTTCGAAATTCAATTAAATTTCTGTGACAAATTTTACTATTTATAAAAATAATTAAATTCTTCCAAAGAATATTATTAAAATTTTTGAAAAAATCTGATTTGTTTTGTTTTGAAGAATTTAAAAAAATTTTTTTTGAATAATGTAATTTTTTTATAATTTTTATTGAAAATTGTGAAAGTAATTGAGCTTTATGAAGAATTTCTTTAACTTTATGAATAAAATCAATTTTCTTAATAACTGTAAGTAATAATTTTATTATTAACTTTTATTAAAATTATTTACAGGAAACAGGAACTTAATTATTTTAAACAATTATATTAGTTTTCGTAAATAATTAAATTTCTCAAAAGAATTTCTTTAAGGTTATTGAAAATAATGTACCACTTTTAATAATAATTTTAATTGTAACTTTAAAAAATAATTTAAAAGTTCAAAGAACTTTATCAAAACTTTTGAAAATAATTGTATTCTTTCAAAAAATATTATTAAAATTTTCTTTAAATAATTGAATTTATTCGTGGAATTCTATTAAAATTATTATGATAATAATTGAATTCCTACATAGAATTCTACTATTTATAAAAATAATGAATTCTTCCAAAACGTGTTATTATTTATAATAACATATGAATGTGATAATAAATGTCGAAATGAAATAACGTAATCGACTCCCAGATATAAGATTTTTAATATAAATTTAAGTAACAAATATATAAAATAATATTTTACTAATAAATTTATACAAATAAAAAATCAAACAAATATTTATACTGTCTGACTATAAAGGACTTTTACTACTGGATATTGTTTATTATAATGCACAGCAGTTGGAATTATTAGTTAATTTTTTTCCACGCGAGATAAATAATAGTAATAAATAACAATATGAATAAGAATAGGAAATGGAAGTAAGAAAAACAGAAATAAAAATAAAAAATAGAAATAAGAATTAATAAAATAATAATAAATAAAATAATAAGAAATTAAAAAAATTATTAAATGATATGTAATAATATAAAAATTAGCTCTTTAAGGTTTCATCGACAATGAAAAGGCACGAAATAAAAAAAAATAGGTAAAGAAGACAAATGTTTTGTTTCTTTAGTTTTCGAATAAAAAAATGTGGCGAATTTTTCAGTGGTTTCTTTTTTTTTGTAAATTTCATTGAAATGGTGGAGAACTTTATCTACTTATAACTCGTCGTCAAGTTCTGTATATATATTCATTTAGAGTTTCGTGTACGACATTACTCAGACTCATGATTTTAACACAGTTTATTTGTGTGTTTCAGTGGTGCATCAGAGGTACGGACCGGAAGTACAAAGTCCCGGTGGTTTCCTGGGCAACAACGTACTTATGCGATGCAATGTGCCGAGTTTTGTTCGTGATCACGTCAGCGTTACTTCTTGGCTTCAGGAGCCATCCTTCAACATTTATCCATCCACTATAAGCGGTATGTTGTGCTACTGGTAAATTAGTTAATGAGACGAATCGACGTAGTAAGAGATAATTCGAGGAGAATTCGGGTCACATGGGACATCTGAATACATTTGCAAGAGAGTATCGACGAGAGATTATTCTCCTCTCTCTCTATTTCTATCTCTCTCTATTTTCCTCTATCTCTATCTATCTCTCTCTCTCTCTCTATCCCTCTTTCTCTGTCTTTCTTTCTCTCAGAGAAATCAAAGGGAAAGTTAGGGATTTTTTTTAAAAGTACTGGAAAAAATTAAATTTTTAGAATTCATAAGAAAATTCTGAATTTTGGTGTTTTTTTGTTGTTGTCTTATAAACTATAAGAAATTACTACAAATTCTAGAATACAAAACATTCAAATTTTTTTTCTCTGACAATTTCTTTGTAAATAATTTAATTCTTGAAGAACTACCATAAAATAATTATTTATAAATTATTTAATAAATAATTTTACTTAAATACTTCAAAATTAATTAAATTTTAAAAAAGTTGCGTTTGCAATTTTCATAAGTAGATAAACTTCAAAAGGTTTCAATTTAAAATTTTATAAAATTTCAATTTCGAATGAATTGAATTAGAAATTTTAAAGAACTTAGAATTATGAAAATTTTAAAAATACAAATTCTTCTGAAATTAGTTACATTTTTGAGTATAATATTTAATAAATTATTAAAAATAATAGATTTATAGAAGAATTTTAGTTGAAAACACTAAAAAAAAATTGAATTTTGGAGAAGTCACAAATCATTGTAGAAATTCAATTATTTTCAAAAGTAATAAAATTCTTCGCAAAAATTCAATTATGATAAAAAAATTGAAAAAATTCTCGTCGAATTTTCAATTGTCTTTATAAATAATAAAATTCTTCGCCGAAATTCAATTATTTTCAAGAATTTTAATAAAATTCTTGTCAAAATTTTAATTATTTTTAAAAATTTTCCTCAATTTAACGATTTTTAATATCTACTATTTTAATAAAGTTTTCCAACAGAATTAAATTATTAAAAAAAATTAAAAATACTAAAAATTTCACGGGAATTTAATTATTTACAAATTTTTTTTATAAATTTCTTCGCAATTTTTATTAAAATTAATGAAAAGAATTCAATTACTTAAAAAAATTTGTTGACAAAATTCTTTAGAATAATTAAATTTTAAGAAACATTCAATTAATCAATAAATTATTTATTTTTGTTTTTAGACAATAGAATTCTCTTTGAATTTTCTAAGAAAAATTGATTTAAAAACAGAATTTTAGTTAAAATTTTAAAAAGGTTTCAAATTAAAGACTTCGAAAATTTTGAATGTTTCATACTTTTCATTAATATTTCTTTAGAATTAATTTTTTTGAAAAAGTTTCATTGAATTTTTTTGTGAATTATTTGAAGGTTTTATTTTCTAATATACATTTAATTGAAGAATTAACGAATAATTGAAATTCGGTAGAATTGAATTGTAAACAAAAAGGATTAGAAAATTCTCAAAGAAGTTTTTCAGTAATCATTAAAAATTGAAATTCGGTAGAATTGAATTGTAAACAAAAAGGATTAGAAAATTCTCAAAGAAGTTTTTCAGTAATCATTAAAAATAATTGATTTAAAGAATAATTTTTGTTAGAAATTCTAGAAAATAATAATTGAATAGAAGGAATGAAAGTAATTTTTAAGAAGTTACAGTCACAATATTCTTATAATATAAAATAAAATTCTTGGCAACATTTCAATTATTTTCAAAAATTTTCATCAATTCTATGATTTTAAATATCTACGATTTTATTAAAATTTTTCAAAAGAATTCAATTATTTAAAGAAATCTTAATAAAATTCTACGCTAACATTTCATTGTTTTCATAAATAATAAATATTTCATAGGATATAATTATTTACAAATTTTCTATAAATTTCTTTGCAGTAATTCAATTATTTTCATAAATAATAAAATTCTTGTTAGGAATTCAATTGAATAATAAAACTCATTGCCGAATTTCAATTATTTCTAATACAATTTTATTCAAGTTCCTTAAAAAATTGATTTATAAATGAATTTCAGTTTAAATTTTAGATAATAATTGAATATTAAAGCATTATAGCGTTAATTTTTAGAAATAATTGAATTTTCAAAAGGTTTCAAATTAAAATCTTTGATATTATGAATTTTTCATACTTTTAACTAACAATTTTATTGAATTAGTTGTTTTGGAAAAGTTTAATTGAATTTTTTTTAAAAATTATTTCATGTTTCAGAGTGATCGATATCTTTATGTTTTATATAATAATAATATTTTTATAAGTTGTTGAATTTCAAAAAGGTTTGAATGATTAAATATTTATTTCAGAATGAAGTTATTTAATGTTTTCGAATGATTTTACAATGAAAGAAATTTGTAAATAAATGTATTAGAACATTTTTTAAAGCATCTAAGGGACCATCCATAAACCACGTAGCCTGTTTTGGGGGGGGAGGGGGTTCGGTAATGTGCTACGTTAGACCACATGGGGGGAGGGAGGGTTTTTTAGTCTGAGCAACGTAGCTTTGTATTTTTATTTGACATACATTTTTTTGAAATTACGCGGGCAGCTCGAAAGTCAAGTCGAGAAATATATGTGGACGTTCACATGAAAAGGGCCCATTTTAACACTATTGGAGTTATCTATATGGGCGTATTCCTGGCAAAAGTTGGAAAATTTTGAGTGGTCTTAGAACTTTTTTGGTTAAAAATTCGCTGAGTTACGAATTTAAAAGTTTAGAACGCCAAAAACCTCATTTCGAGAAAAACGGTTACCTTGAAGATAAAAAACCAACAGGTTTTAAATTTTTAAAACCATCCCCCCCCCCTCTTAATTTTGAAAATACGAAAAACTTTTTTTTTCTAAAAAGGACAGTTTTTCTATTAAAGAACCATTTTTTAACAAGATTAATTATTAGGTACAATTTAATTGTGTCATTTGAAGAAAAAGGATAGATATTAAACTTATTTAAAAATTTTTGACAGTTTCTATTATGAAAAAATTAACGTAATATTCAAATTTTCATTTCGACAATTACGAAAAAAAGACTCTAACATCAATATCTCTGGTTCTTCTGGGAAGTTATTCAGATAAGAATTGTTTACAGTCCAGGACACCTTAAAGATGAAAAATCAAGAGGTTTTAAATTTTTTCCACACCTCTATTTTTAAAATACGGATTAATTTTGCAAATGACCGCCAAAATGGGCCCTTTTCAATTTTCTAAAGAACCAATGAAATCAAACAGTTAAATTATCGATAAATTAATGAAAACCGCATGATTCGACTTGTCAAAACATGTAGATTGATAATAAAAAATTTTTAAAAATTAAGATTTTGCTCCAAAATTACTAAATTGTGATTATCTCGAAAACTAGAACCGACAATATAGGCCCTTTTCATGTGGACGTCCACATATATTGATAAAATATATAGTGATGAAAAAATATACATATATATACAAAAATATCGATTAAAATTAAGAATTAGTCTTGTATCAAACTCTTACTTGTCAAAGAAAAAAATAAACTGTGATTTAAAAACATTTAATATTGTTTACTATGTTTCAATACGATTTTATTGATTATTTTTAGAAAAGAGAATTTAATATTCATAAAAAAAAAAAAAAGCTACGTTCCATTAGGTAGGGGGGGAGGGGGTTCGGTAATATGCTACGTTAAGCTACGTGGGGGAGGGGAGGGGTCGAAAAGTTCAAAAATCGGAGCTACGTGGTTTATGGATGGTCCCTAAATTATTTTTAGAGTGAATCAAAATATTCTTTAGGTTCAGGAAAAAATCAAAATTTTATTTGAAAATCAGGAAAAAATCAGGGAAATATAAAACTAAATTTTTGTGTCTACCCTGAAATTGTTTCACAAAAAAAAAAACGAAATTAATATTACGATGTTCTTTTGTTTGGATTTGTAATTTTAGTGAGATCTTATTTTGTTTTAGAAAAAATCCATTCTAATTGAAATTAATTTCAGAATTCTTTATGGTATTTCCCTTACTTTTATACTTGGAAAAAATCGATTTTGATAAAATATTCTTGAAATTTCGTGGATTATTAATTTAAAAAAATTTTTTTTATTATTATTTCCTTTACGCAGGCCTTATTGTATACTCGAAATTTGAAGAATATTTTTTATCCAAATCGATTTTTTCAAAGAAACAAGAAGTTTTGATCTTCTCTTCATTTCGTTTCATTGCCACTATGGCAAAATTTATGATGACTTGTCTCCTTCTCTATGATTGAGAGAGATTTAGCGAAATAAGGTTCCTGTGAGAAAGTTCCCCTCCTAATTCTCAACCACTATTTCGTGATTATTTGAAAATGAATCTTCTTAGACTGCAAGAGAAGTAGTTTGCTCACGTATAACGTTGTTTCGGAAAGTACTTCTCGTGATTGATACTCAACTCGAGGGGGGTGGGGAGAAAGAGAGAGAGAGAGGGTGAACCATGTGAATTCGTAACTATTCATATATTATAATAGAAAATAATTTAAATACGAATTTTGTATTCATATAGTTTGAGGCCAGGGAAAAGAAAATTTCACTCTGGATAAGTGCATACTAGAATTTCAAATTTATTACGAAACTTTGTTTTTTACAATTTTTTTTTTAACAAATTTACTAATTAGTCCAGTTTACGAAAAAAATAATTATAATAGAAAATATAAAGAAAAGAATATTTTTTAAGTAAAAAAATACTTCTTTTAAGTAGAAAAAAATATTTTTTTTAAGTAAAAAAGAATATTGTTTTTTTTTAATATGGAATTAAAAAATCACTATTTAATAATAATAATAATTTAATTAGTCTTGTGATAAAAAGGGTTTAAATTTATTTTTCTCCATTTCTCGCAAAATGATAATGAGTAAATAATTTGCAATTTAAAAGGCTATTAGAAATTATTTCCTAATCATGATACTGTGATGAAATTAGAATGTTATTAAATTGTAATGCCTTTGTCGGTTCTTTGTCTCTTGTAAAACAAGCAGTTAATAAGATTTCCTCTCCTTGCAGATGGCAAGTATCACATGCTGCCAAGTGGAGAGCTACTGATAATTAATATTTCACGGAGTGATGTGCAGATGACTTATCGATGTAGAACGCATAATCGATTGACTCAGGAAAATGTCGTCAGTAATAATTTTGGCCGTGTGCAACTGACAGGTGAGTTGTCAAATTTAATATTCATTAAAGAATTCATAATATAGTATTTCACAAATGGAATTTTAATATTTTTTAAAAAGAAAAAAATTTATAAATAAATATTTTATAAAGTTTTTTTTAAATTTATAAATCAAAATTAATTAGAAAATAGGTGTTGGTGTTTTTTTTTATATTTTCTAATTCCTTTTGACTAAAAAAAAAATTTTTAATTGTTGGAAAACTAAAACTAGGAAAAAATAGAGAACTGTTGAGGATGGAAATTTTCTAATTATTCTTTTCTATAAGGAATCGTCGATTAAATACGTAGCCCCATTTTTTTGAAATTTTAACCCCCCCAGCCAGAAAAATATACTTTTATTTAACTCAAATAAATTATATTTTATTTTTAAATACATTTTTTTGGGTGTAGAATTTTATTTTAGTTAATAATTTCCAATACAAATTATTTCGAATATTTTTAATTCGTTGACGCAGTTTATCTTCATAACTTTTATTGAATAAATTATTAACTTATTCCATATGTTATGAATAATTAACATAAATATCGTATAATTTCTGGATAAATGAGATAGAGAATAAAAAATAAAATTAAATCATTTTTGAGTGAAATTTTGTAAAAAATGTTATCAATATTATTATTATTATTATTATTATTATTATTATTATTATTATTATTATTATTATTATTATTATTATTATTATTATTATTATTATTATTATTATTAATGTTTTTATTATTATTATTATTATTATTATTATTATTATTATTATTATTATTATTATTATTATTATTATTATTATTACTATTAGAGTCATTATAATCATTATTATTCCTATTAGGTACTACTAGAGTTATTATTATCATTATTATTTCTATATCATAAATTTATTAAAAAAACAAAAATAATAATAAATAATACAGGGTTGCCACAGGTCAGAGAAATCAGGGAATTTAGGGAGAATCAGGCCAGGTAAATCAGGGAAAAGTCAGGGATTTTTATTAGAAGTATTTGAGAAAATTAAATTTTTAGAATTCATAAGAAAATTCTGAATTTTTGGTACCTTTTTTGTTTGTATCATAAACTATGAAACTACCATTAATTAAAATACAAAACTTTCAAAATTCTTTTCTATTTCTGACTAGAATAAATTTTTTAATATTATTTAGTTATTTATTTCAAAAGTTTCAACGCAATTATCTTGATAACTAACAAAATTCTTCACAAAAATTCAATTATTTTTAGGAATTTAAAAAAAATTCTTCACTAAATTCAATTATTTTCAAAAATAACAATATTCATCACAAGAATTCAATTATTTTCAAAAGTAATAAAATTCTTCGAAAAAATTCAATTATTTTAAAATATTTTAACGAATATCTCGTCAAGAATTCAATTATCTTTATAAATAGCAAAATTTTCGTCAAAAATTCAATTATTTTCAAAAATGTAAATAAAATTCTTTTCAAAATTTCAATTATTTTAAAAAGTTTTTTGCAATTCAATGATTTTTAATATTTACTATTTTCATAAAATTTACCAAATAATTTAATATTTGAAAAAAATTTTTGTCTCAATTCTACGAAAACATTAACTTATTTTCAGAAATAATAAAATTTCATTTAGGAATTCAATTATTTTCATCGTAGAATTTCAAATATTTTTAATACAATTTTAAATAAATTCTTCAAAAAATGGAATTATTCTTAAAAATTGTATTGAATTTTGACGAAAGAATTCAATTTTAAGAAACATTCAATTATTCAATAAAATAATAAAATTGGTTGCAATAATTGAATTATTTTCATAAATAACTTTTAATTCTTCGCAGGAAATCAATTATTTTCAAAAAATTTTAAGCAATTCTGCAAAAGAATTCATTTATCTTGATAAAGAACAAAATTCTCCTGAAAAAAATTTATTATTTTAAGGAATTTTAATAAAATTCTTTTCCAAAATTCAGTCTATTTTGATAAATATCAAAATTCATCACAAGAATTTAATTCTTTTGAAAAGTAATAAAATACTTTGCAGAAATTAAATTATTTTCAAAATGCTTTGAAAATTATCGTCAGGAATTAAATTATTTTTATAAATAAGTAACGAAATTCTTCTCAAGAATTCAATTATTGTCAAAAATTTTAATAAAATTCTTGCCAAAATTTAAATTATTTGAACAAAATTTAATAAAATACTTCGCATTAATTCAATTATTTTCATAAATTATTATTTAAATTCATCTCAAGAATTCAATTATTTTTAAAAATAATTTTAATAAAATTCTTGCCAAAATTTAAATTATTTAAACAAAATTTAATAAAATACTTCGCATGAATGATGAATTAAATTATTTTTATAAATTATTATTTAAATTTTTCTCAGAAATTAAATTTTTTAAAAAATTTTTAATAAAATTCTTCAAAAAGTTTTCAATTATTTTCAAAAATTGTTATAAAATTCTTTAATTTTATAAATTTCAGTAAATTTTGATTAAATTCCTTAAAAGAAATTAATTATTTTCCAAAGTTGTTAATAAAATTCTTCGTAAAAATTAAAAGATTATCCAAATTAAATTTTATGAAACATTCAATTATGCAATAAATTATTTATTTTTGTATTTAAATAATTGAATTTTGTTAGAATTTTTTAATAAAAATTTATTTATAAATGAATTTTAGATAATAATTTAATATTAAGAGCATTATTATAAAATAGTAATTTTATTACTGGGGTTCATGTTTACAATAATATTCTCATAATTTGTTGAATTTGAAAAATGTTTGAATTTGAATGTTTTGAAAAATTTAAATTCCTACCGAAAAATAATAATTAAATAGGTATTTATTTAAAAAAGAATTTATTGGTGTTTTGGAATAATTTTACAATTAAAAAAATTCGTAATTAAATGTAATAGAATAGTTTTTTGAGTATCTAATCATTTTTAGAGTGAATTAGAATATTTTTTAGGGTCAGGGAAAAAGTCAAAATTTTATCTGGAAATCAGGGAAAAGTCACCGGGAAAAACAAAGTTAAATTTTTGTGTCAATCCTCTATTAATAAATTTACAAAATTAAAAAAATTTTCTGATCTGCGGCATTTTTACTGTCATTTCTTATGTAAAATTTGCTCCCGAATCCAAATATGAAGTCAGATATTAAGAAAGTAGAACAATTTTCGAGATATAGGTAAATTTTAATTTTTTGATTTTTGACAAAAAGTGGATTCACTAATTTACCATTATTTCCGAATGTAGTCGATCGATTTCAATTTTCTTTGAAGCAAATTAAAGGTAATTAAATTTCACATAAAAAAAGGATTTACAACATTTTTTAATTGGATTGACGATTTAGGAGCTATTTATGAATTTGTTTTTCGAATTTCTCATTATTTTTAACAAAATTTTAGAAGATATAAATAATTGTACTGTCATTTCAATTAAAAAATGTTGTAAATACTTTTTTATGGTAAATTTAATTACCTTTAATTTGCTTAAAAGAAAATTGAAATCGATCGACTATATTCGGAAATAATGGTAAATTAGTGAATCCACTTTTTGTCGAAACTCAAAAAATTAAAATTCGGATTCGGGAGCAAATTTTACATAAGAAATGACAATGAAATGCTGCAGATCAAAATCTTTGTAAACTAGTGTGATAATAAATAATAAGAATGGAAGATAATAAATCAGGATAAGTTAATTATTTTTATTATTTAGTTTTATTTATTAACTTTATTTTTTTATTGTATTATCATTATTATTATTATGAATTAATAATATCGCGAGATAAATTAAATTGCTAATCGGAAGGAGTTTCTAATATATCGGAATATACGTATGAAAAAAAGAGAATTGGAAAATTGCATTTTGCCGCAGGACAATTGTGCATTTCAATGATCATTCGACTTCAATTGAGGGGACGGATTCTAAAAGGGGATACGCGTGGATTCACGCGTTTAAGTTTTGTCCACTAGGTCAATTTTTGAAACTATTACAAATTGCAATTTGAATTACTGAAGTTTGTAGAGAATGAAAATGCGCATCTTTTTTCTTTAAGAAATAAATTTATATCTTTTTTAGTTTATGAAATAATGAGAAAAAACTAAATTTTTGAAAACCAAAAAATTTAAATGTTTTACGTCTTTAACTCGTGCTGGCGTTTTTGATTTTTCATATTTTGTAATCAAACAAAAACGAACTTACAGATTAAGACTTCCTGAAACCAACTATACTTTTAAAACTACAAAATCTTAATTAATAAAAAGTTTATTAATTTTTTCGAAAGACGTTGCAAAAAACGTGTTTTTCCAACTTTCAACGCTTCGTTTATCGAGGAAATTTTAAGGTACAAAAAACTTCCAGTGACAAAGTTTTTCATTACTATACGGACAAGTTTTCTGTAAAATTTTATTAACATGATATGAATGCTTACAAAGTTATTAATGTTTAAAGCGTATGGTGCGTCAGATTTCTCGCGCCTCGAACACATTGAGTCCCAAGGTGTTCGTTTGTAACAGATTAAGACTATTTTAGTTTATTCATTTGTTTACTTAAAAAAAATACAATTTTTAATGAAGTCACAGATAACTTTTGGAATCGCAGTTTAGTTAAAAACGATTATTTATTATTAAAAAGTAACTAATAATAATTAGCCAAAATCGTCTGAAGATAGTTAAAATTGACTGACATACAAATAATTAATGCATAGTTATTTTGACATAAATTTAATGTTAATTAAACTAATAATTGTTGATTAAGAATAGTAAAAATATTATAATTTTAGTTATTGACTAGTTTTTTGCTATCAAAGTAATTATTTTTAAATAATATTTAACTATGAGATTATGACGATTTGGCTAACTTTATATAAAAGTAGCATCAGTTTATTTATTTTAACATGTATTCTAAGTAAAAAACATAATATAAGAAATATTTTTTTAAAAAATATTGCAGAATTATTTGCAAAATAATTTGTACAATAATTCTATATTTTCTATATTCTA